CCAGAGTCGCTTGGACATTTGGCAGCTTTGGCTGCACTTTTGCCACTTGGCCTGGCCAACCCTGGCCAGCGCGCCCCCCGCACATAAAATGCTTATGAAAAGCGCTTAAATTAACTAACCCTTGGGCCATGGGCAAAGCAAACACCGTAAACACCTTTAAAAGCCACAGGGCGATGTCTGCAGGCTGCCTGATACTGGCCATTGCAATTTCCATACCTCGAGCCATAGTTCAGGCTTGTTGCAGAGCGTGTTACGAGCCGGGCTACGTAGGGCCGGGTAGGGCGCAGGGAGGGGATGGGAGGCTGCGGAGGGTTTTTGCAAAATGTGTAGTTTATTTGCAATTTTTTAGCCAAAGAGCTTTGCATTTTTGTTGGTTTTGCTGCCTGGTTTTCTATTTCATTCTTTTTTTTTTCTACATTTTTTTTTATTATTTTGTTGCTTTCTGTTCTGAATCTCACTCTTTAGTGGCCCCGCCCCGCCCCGCCCCGCCCTGGCACGCCCCGTTCGCCCCTTGCCGCATGTGAAATTTGTGTTATCGCAGCGCTTGCAGCAGCTGCAGCAGTTGCAATAAAATCAGTGGCAAAGGTTGCAGCAGCTGAGGTCAGTTTGGGGTCCACTGCATGTGTCTGCGTCTGTATGTGTGTATGTGTGTGTGTGTGTTTGTGTGTGTGTGTGTGTTTGCGTTTTGGTGTGCCAGTTAAATGTGAAGCATTTGCACTAAAAACTTGCACACTGAAAATTTGAAATTTGCCATTTGTTTTGTTGGTTTGGTTTCGTTTTGTTTTCCTATTTCGGAGCTGAGAGAAAAACATTTCTCTGATTTGCATTTAAAAGGTGTGGCAACTATCGGGCTTATGTGCGGGCACGGGTTATGCCAGGGGTCGCCAGATTTGCAAATGGTTGGCCTCTGCCGCCGTCTCTGCCCCTTCAATGTATCTGTTTGCAAATGAGCGCCCCGCACATTGCGAGATAGACGCAAGGGGCAAATAGAGCAGTCGAGAGGAGATAGAGAGGAAGAGCTACACTTTTATAGCCTCACACAGTGGGGTCTTAAAACTTGGCTGTCAAGCAAGTAACGCACATAAATATAAGCTCTTAAGCAGCATATATATGCATATAATATATATTTCATATGATGTAAAAAGGAAATCTGACAGCTTAAGCTCATTATTTTAGAGCTTGCTTAAGGCAAGCCCAGCAGAATTTAAGGTAAATCAGAAATCGCCAAATGCACGAGAGGCCGATACAAAGGCGATAAGAACAGGCCAGCAAACTTGACTAAAATCTTCCGTGAACCTACTCTTCTAGCCGAACCCTCGTTTTGTCTCATATTACTATAAATAAACTGTTTTATTATTTTAATTAAGGAAAATCAAAATGAATCTTGAACAATTGTTTAATTGTATTAGTTAATTAAAAGAAGAAGATAAAAGATTGTATTAGAGGAGACCCACTTTGGAACTTTTGTGGTTTAATTCAGTTTATGTCTCCTCTCAGCTTTGATATTCGGTTCGAGGTTGATTCGAACCGCTTCATTTGAAAACTTGTTTGAAATCTTCATATGGAAGGTTCATATCATATTACTAGAGCTTATCTGTATGTGAAATACCTTTAGAAGAAAGTTTATTCGACAAAAGTTGAATATGTTTTATCTCCAAAAAAGTGTCTCTCTGCAAGGGCATGCGGAATTCGTAGAGCTATTCGCTAGCCAAACTTTTACAAAATGAACAAGAATTGCAAACAATGCAATGCAACATTTAAAACGTACAATAAAATGAAATGCAAATAAAATGTGCCGCTGACACGACAGTGAAAAATAATACAAAATGCGCGAAAAACCAGAGGCAAAATATATGTATATATAAAAAAAAAAAAAAAATAAAGAAAGAAGATATTTGCGCTGGCAACATGAAATTGGCTGGTTGTTCGGGCCATAAATTTCTATATAGACAATATCTGAATGTTGTTTGCGCCATTTCGCCTATTCGGGCATTCGTCGGTAAATATTTTTTTGCTATTGTTGTGATTGTCGCCATTCTACGCAACATGCAACAACTATTAATCATATTGAATGGCTCTGTTCCTGCGCCTGACTGTGTCATCCTGGCTAATCAATCTTTACCGTGTGCCGTCTCTAATGGCACTGACAACGACAAAGGCAATCTTCCTTCTGCCGCCGGTCTCATCCCCCGCCTCCTCCCCTGTCATCTATTGCCGAAGAAAAATGGCCGATAAAGTCATTAACGCCTGGCTGGCCACCTGCCCTGGTGTACACGGCAATCCACTGATCCGGACACGGATACGGACTACACAAGGAGCTGGCCGACGTCTGAGCCGGCGGGCCAGTTGCTATTTTGTTTATGGGCGGCGGCGCAAATCTCTTTGCCAAGCCGCTGCTCAATGAGGCGGCAGGCAAAAGCCAAAAGGGGATTAGTTGTAATCAATAACTTGGCCAAGTAGTGTGGAGCCAGGGCCAAGGGCTGCCTGGCCCGCCCTGCGCTGCCCGTCTGCTGTTGTTTGCCTGTCGAAACTTTTGCTCAGGGCAAGAGGAAGAGAGATTTGGGGAGGGACTACCCTCAATGTGAGCCCTTTGTGCGCGCCAAGTTATTATTATAATTTTTCTTTTTGCAAATGCGGATTAATTGAAAAGTTTGCCATTAGGAATTCGCGCTTGGTTAAGTTCCTTTCGCCTTTGTTTCGAGTCGCAAATCGCCAGACTCGACCCTGGCCCACCCCTACGCCCACGCCCACGCCCACCTATGAAATATCCATTTTGTTAGGTGTTTCAACTATTTGATCGTTATGGATTTTGACAGCTTCATTCGCAGTTATGATGAAAATTACTTAAAAGCATTTTGCACAGCGCTGATTTGATTGATGGGCGTTTATGTGCCATGCCCGGGAGCGGAGGCAGGTGTTTGGGCCTGGTGATTGGGAACCGGGGGCATCGTCATTATATTCGCATTATCGACTCGTCGTGGGCGCGGACGCAATGAGGCATCGCAAATGCCAGTTGACGTGCTGGCGGTTGAAGAGCTGACAAAAAGTTGCGCCAATTTGTGTCAATTATCAGGAGGCTGCCAACTTGCACCAACACACCCTCCCTATCCAACCACCCATCTCCTCAATTGGTAGCATTTCACCTGGCCGTTGAGTGAAGTTTCGAAATCCGTCGAGAGTTTCGCGGAATGTGGGGCAGCATTTAATGACAAAACAATGAATATAGCCAAGGCTGCAGCAGAAAAAATAATGCGGCTTTCCGCATGAAAATTTGTTGAGAGTTGCCAGCTTTCAGTTTTTCATAATGTAATTTCAGCTGAAAAAGTGCCATCAGCAGATACATTTTTTTTTTTTTCGTGTAGCAGCCAATTTAAAAGTGCAAAGCAATTACAAAAGTTAACTAGAGTTCGAAAACATTGTATTGCAAGAGCTTTAAGAGCGCATTGAAGCTTTAAGTTGTATTTATTGTGTGCAGCGCCTGAGCTTTTGGTAAACTCGTTTTTATACACTCTTAAAAAACTTTCGTTGAAGAAGCTTCAACAGCTTTTCGAAGCTTTAAAGTTGTATTTATTACGTGCAGATCATAAGACTCTAGTTCAATATTTCTTGATAAAGTGGAAATTATAAAAGTATTGAAAGTATTTTTAAGCTTAAGCGTATTTATTATACGAGCTTTAAGCTTTATATATTTAACAAAAGTTTGGTTATAACCTAATAAATTGATGCCTAATGAATTATGATTATATCGCTGTGGGATACAATTGAAAGCTTTCAAAACAAAATCATCTATAAGTCGTATTAAATATATGCAATATTAACTCTCGATAAAAGCAATCAAAGTGTAACTGAAAGCCTTCGAAAAATATATGAGCTTTACACTGCATTTGCATATAAATTTCCGATTTTCTATAAAATGCATATATGCCAAATAAAATGTAAAAATCATTTTAAAATCAAATCTATGGCAAATCTTAATGTAGCCTTTCACATTCAACCTAGCGATTTACACTGTTCGTTCACTTTGGCTTATCCTGATTAAGGATTTCTGCTTAAGCATGCGTAGAACCTTGCAGCATAGGGCGGACAGGCACGAAACATTTTGCATATCGTTAATGAAATCCTTGCTGCATACACACACACACCGAATGCAGTCTGAAGCATCTACTAGGCATACTGGGCGCTCATTAAAATCGAAGAGCGTCGAAACAAATCGATTTTCGTTTAGTATCGCAATCAAGAACACAACAATTTTTGTACTCGTGCTAAAAATTTGTTTTGTGCGCTATAACAAGTCTCTGTCAGTCACGCCCCTCCCCCTTGGTAAACCTGGCTGAATGGAGAACTTAAAGAGCACTCGAACAGCACTCAGCCGCAAACACATATTCGCACACTTACACACACATTCGCACACCTGCACACACACACATACACTCGTTATGGATGTGTGTAAGCTGCTGTTTAAGTGGAGTTTGCCTTGCTGCAGAGAATTTTGGGCAAAATGTTGGGGTTGTAGGCGCCGCATCGACGTGTCGGGCCATCGTCTGTGCCTTGCAGTACTTGTCAAGATTGAATTTGCCACGGATATATATAGTACATATATATATATTCCTTTTCTACAATTTTTGTACAATTTTTTTTTTTTTTTGTGATGTTTTTCTTTACTTTTTTTTTTGGCATTTTTATTGATCAAACAAACTGTGGCAAGTGGCAGCCAGTGAAGGTGTCATTGCTCAGCAGGGCTTATAAGCAGATACTACCTATACACACACACACATTCACACAAATATATACAGATATATATATAGTTTATGGAGGGAACACGCGCAGTGCGCATAAATTGCATGATTCGTTTGGGCAACTGTCAGTCTGATTTTTCATTTTCATTATTATTATTACAAGTTGGCAGACATTGCTTTATGGCTCGTACAAAAGAACTAGTTCCGTTTTATTTTCTGCGCTTTTTTTTTCTTTTTTTTTTGTAGCAAAGGGTTTTTACTTACCGGACCAAACTGTTCAAAGTAGCTTTTGACATCCTCCAGCGTGGTGGGCGCCGAGAGGCCGCCCACAAAGATTTTCTTCGTTCTCGTCACCATCTGCAACAAAATGAGTACATGAGAAAAAAGAGGAAAAAAATGAGGAAAATTGTGAAAAAGTATCAGCACAAATGAACGAATGAGCGCGTAAAGCGCAAATGGCAAATGCTGCTTAATTTAGCTGTAGCCTGGCATTTAAAAATGCATTTATGGTAAGTCGCTGAGCGGGACGCGAAGGCAAGGGGCGGATCGGGGAGGTGTTAGCCCAAAGTTATGGCCCGCCAGACTGCGAGGAGCCGTAAGAGTCGCTGCTTCTGTAACTTACGGCAACAACTTTCGCTATGCGTCGACCATTTTGTGCACTTTATGTAGTAGCCGCATGTGTGTGTGAAGTGTGTGTATGAAGCGAGTGTGTATATGTGTGTGTGTGTGTGTGTGTGTGTGTGTCAGTGTGTGCAGCTGGCATATTTAAGCTGACAGTTTCAAGTGCCAACTTTACGCAGTTAGCGCAACAGCAGCACCAAAAATGATGGCGAGGCAAAGATGGCGCGGAGCGTCGAGCCGCACACGTATGTGTGTGAGTGTGTGTGTCTGTGAATGTGTAACTATGCAAGTGTGTGTGTATTGCAACGCCAGCCTTTTTAGCCCGCAGGCAAGCGTAAACTGTTAACGTTAAGTGACGGCAGTTAAGCGACAGTGGGCCAAAAAATATACAAAATTTGACTACAACTGGTTCCGCGTTCTGATTCATTTCGGAGCAGCCAACATTCTGCTTTATATTTACAAGTTGTTTTATTCGAAATTGCACTTCCAAACCAATTTAATTTCCTTTACAATTATTCACATAATACGAAGCCAGCTGGTTCCAGGAACTGAATCATTGTCAATAGCAAGAAATTTCCTAAATAAATATCTGTAATTGAAGCTCTTCACACGAACTGTTGCGGTTCAGAACTAGTTCTATTTACCTTACGAAGACGCTGGCTGATAACTAGCTCCAAGAAGTAAATGATTTGAAAGCAGCGAACAATATTTGCTGATGTGAAACTTTCTTTGAGAAGCAGTTTCAATTGAAGTGCTTGTTCCTGTTGCTAACAAGTTCAACTAGTTCCAAGAACTGCATTTTGAGGCATATTCGCATAGATGTTGATGAATAGATACTTTTGGTTTAAGTACGTGTCGTGAACCAATTCAAAACTAGTTCAATTTCTTGTGAAATAAAAACCGATTCACTAACAACTTTTTAAGTTCAATTGGAAATGAATGAATCGAATGATTCAAATGATTCACTTGCTTTTTGATTGAGTCTAGAGTTCAGAATGGGTTCGTTAAGCACGCTATTTTTTTTTTTTTTTTTTTTTTTTTTTTGGTTTTATCGTTTCGAAATTTTGCGGTTTTTAAACCCGTTCTTTTTGGCCCCATGGTTGGTTTGTTCCAGCTGTAGGGCCGGATGAAGCTGATGACGCTGATTGCACTGAAGCTTGCAAGCTGCAATTTATGAGCACACAGACAACACGCTGCAGGGCCGGCTACGCTGGGGGAGGGTAAGAGGGAGGGGTAGTGTATGGGTGTGTATGTGTGTGGCAACAGACGGCTGGGAAAGATGTGGGATACGTCCGTTAAGGAAGCTAACGATATGTAACAGCGGTGCTGATGTTTCTGCTGTGCCAGCAGTAAAATTCATACAATGTCGTAAAATTAAAACACTTGTGTTGTCGCACTAGCTGACACACACACACACACACACACTCACACACACACTCACACACACAAGCACAACTACTAACATAACTACAAAGTTAGTCATGCAGCTTTTGGCAAGGCAAATCGCTTTTGGCCCGTGTTCTGGCCTGCCCTGGTTGCCAGCTTGGCCGTCTGCCCCAGAGTCCCACTCTCTCTCTCTCTGTCTGTCTCTGTGTTTGTCTGCGCTGCACTTTACACAGGTTGGGCAAATACAGAGCAGAGTTCGGGGTCTGGCTCAGGGTCTTGCTTGTGGAGCCTGTTCGCTGCAGGCGGGCTGCTAGCAATTTGCAAAAAAAAGTAGAAAAAAAAGCTTGCAGAAAAAACCGTCAAGTTGAGTGCGCTGCAAGAAAGTAACAACATGACGTCCAAGACAACGTTGAACTCCAACTTCGGCTCCGGCTCCGGCTCCGTCTGCGGCTGCGGCTACTGCTGCCGCCGCCGGTCATCAGACATGACGCACAAAATTGCAGTGTTGTTAAAAAGCGATTCGAAACAGCGCCCGCCAGCACTTTGTTGTTACTTGGCTTGAGTCGAACGCTAATCACTGCCAATGAGGCAGCTACTTAAACTAATAAACTGGCTACCGGACTCGTCCTGTGGCCAGTTGGCCTCGCAATGTCATCATCAAATATATAAATGAGGGCGGGTGGGTGGCATCAGCGATAGCTCGAAACACGCCCAACGCTGATAGCGCGGCATGAATCAAAAACAAAACACACCCAGCCGAAAAACCAGAATACAACAAAGAGTCCTAACCCCCTCGCAACCAAACCCAAGCAGACCCGATGATCAGGCCAAGCCAACTGGCGACCTCAACAAATGGAAACACACACGCATACTAACGATGTGACACGGCATTTTAACGGCCACCGCACGGCGCTGCACAGATTAGGAATGTCAATATTAGCCACGGCGAGCAGGACTCGCAGTTGGACTGGCAGCAGGACTTGGTATGAGTTATGTGTGTGTGGTCAGAGTTTGGGCGGGGCCTGGCCCTGGGCCTGCCAAATTTTGACAAATGACGTCAGAAGTGGGCGTAAAGGAACTGTGACCAAGCTGAGGTAGGCGTGCCTCGACGACAGGTTACAAGAAACTGAGCTCGTTCACAGATATCCAGCCAGATAGTCGAAATGTTGTCGAGTACTCGACCGAAACACTTGCAAATGCCAGCCAGCCCTGATTACAGAAAGGTGTTGCATTGGCCAGGTCTGTTCAGACAGGCAAAGAAACTTTATTAATGAATGCAATTTAGATGCCAGAACTAAGCCAGAGTATAAACCATTTCCCAAATAGATTCAGGTTTGGTCAATCGTTGGAAAGCTGAAGTTTGGGACATTTTAAATCAACATTTTTGGCCGGAATTTTTATATTAAAACTCCTGTTTATAATATTAAATAACAAATATGCCAATTTTGGGCTAACTTTTAAGAAATCGATTGATTTCTGACAAAGTTTGGGCAGAATTTAGACTACTCAGAACTTAAGCTACTCTGTTGGAACTTTTGAGAAGAATTTGAAGGCAATAACAATAAGCGGAAAAAATGGTCAAACATATACAAAAATGCATTCCCCTTTTTGACTATTGACAAGGTTATCGAAATTTAAAGATAATGAAACTTATTTACTTTGGATTTCGCATACTAAGAGTCAAAAATTGTAACATTAGACCTATTCATTAAAATTGAATAGGACATTAATCCGGAGGTTAAAATTTTCAAAATCAATTAAATGGTAGGAAAAGTTTTAGTTTTTTCAGGCTAGGGCTCCGTCTATCGGCAAATTAGCAAAAAGGTGTGTCTACATTTAAATGCAGAGTCAATCATAAAAATCGATTCAATTCTGCCAAAATATGGCGTGCCTGAAATACATAAATAATTTAAGATTAAATTTCATAATGAAATCTTGCACAATTGAATGCAGACCGAGTCTAGAAAATAAGTAGAAGTAAATATAATTATTTCCCATGAAAATCGTATAATTTTTGACAATCTTGTGGAAGTTTTAAGGCCAGGAAAGTATTTTCTTGGTCGCAACAAATTTTTTATTTAAATATTTAAATGGTAGAGTTTTGTCTGAGGTTCATTTATGGAATTTCGACATTAAAATTCATTAACAAATTCTGTTGAAAGATTTAAATGTAAAACTTTTGTTTTAGGGTTCGTTTAATTCATTCGTAGAAAATAGTATTAAAAGATTTAAATGCATGAGTTTTTTAAAAGTTATTTTCAATGTAAAGTAAGTAACTAAAAATTGTTTTACAAGATTTAAAGGCAAGAGTTCATTAAGTTTACTCTGGAAGTTTTGTAGCTAAGGTTATTTTCGATATAAAATTCAAAATTTTACAATAGGTCTGCTCTGGAATCTTGTAGCAGCGATTTTTACATAGATTTTCATACAAAATTTATTGTATAAATTTATAAAAGTTATATGCTAAGATTTAAGTGCGTAACCTATATAAAGGTCAAACCCAGCACAAGCATCGGTTTAAAGGAAGAATATTTTGAAACAAATTGAATGGAGTACACGTTTCGCAGTTTCGCAGTTATATGAGCTTATTTTAGGCAGCATGTTAAATGATATGAATATGGCCCTAAATTACGGCCCAGTTAACCCCGTTGCCTCTTAAAAAGTTGAAGTAAGTAGCTCTATAAACTGGATTTTAACTGCACAAAGTTAAGCAACTGCGCGTGCAATATTTTGACTCAAATATATAGTTGCTATCATTTCCACCCTCTTAAGCTGCTTTTAATGGCCTGCCAGGTGGGTTGTTATTAAGTGTGTAGAGGGGGGAATTGGGTAGGGATAGGGGTATGGGGGAAAAGGGTCTGAGGAAATGCCCATCAGCGCTGACAATCAAGCCAGCAACTGCCATCATCTCCGATGTTCTGTGGGTGGGAGTGGGTCTGTGTGTTGCGAAAGGGCAAAATCAATTTAACACTTTCAACTAAATTATTCATTTTGCATAATAATTTTCAAATCTGTCAAAATTCACACACACGCACTCACACACATACATTGTAAGCAGGCTTTTATTTGATACATTCGGCGGTTGTCGGCGTCTGCACTTTCACACGCTTAGGATCGCGATAGGGATGTTGACTGAGCGGGCTGGGTTTACTGAGCGGGAGGGGTTCGACGCCTGTAAAAAGCACTCAAATAATTCCCAGGCGTAAGCTAAACCAGCGCCAAAGTTGCCACGCTGCGCACAACAATAGCAAACAGCGCGCACACACACACACACACGCATACACGCACACACACACACACACGAACACACACAGGCTGCGGGGGCTGTGTGTAGCTAAAGTGGAACTGAG